TTCAGGGTCATGAACTCCCTTGAGAAGGGAGCTGGAGTAGGTGTTACTAGTGTGCTCCCTTCTGGGAGTAGATCCGCCCTGAAGAATAGTTTATGGCAGCCCTATTTCCCAAAATTGCTGCTCTGAGGTGTTTTCCCCCCCTTCATCTGTTGAATCTCAAATGTCTTCAGCTTAAAATAATCTTTATGCCAAAGTGACTGTTTTGGAGTGGCATATTCGGATCCCCTCAACCGGAAGGAACAGCATTTCCCCACTTATACTTCAGGGTCTTACTCTAAATACACAATCCTCATTTTCTGTTGGTACCTGTATCTGTGTAGACGCCCTTGACCCTGAGTCCCCTGACAAGATTAAAATGTAATGGCGGAGATGAGCAGATATTGATAAAGAACCATATAAGGGTGGACAGCTTAATATGGCATGGAGCACCAGGATTTGGGGAGACTCCCCCCCCCCAGAAATTGTCAACAACCCTTGGAAAAGCCAAGTTCCTTTGTTTATGTCTGAGGGGCTGGGTGTGGGTCACAGGAGGCCCGCAGAAAACCTCTTAACGTAACAGTTCTGAGCCAAAACTGCACAGAAAACTGTGATTCACTTCTCAAGGTGGCCACAGTCCAGAGCTCTGCACCCCAAGGACTCTTGCTTTTCTTTTACAAAGAACCTGTTCTTGTGGATGTGGAGGTGCCTGGCAGGGAGGAGGAACCAGCTTCACCAGCCCCCGGGGCCTGTGCCAGAGGCCAGAGGCAGTGAGGTTGGCCGGCTGCCGCCCTCAGGGAGGAAGGGCCTGCCAGCCTGCAGCTGGTGGGAGAGTGAGCCGGGCAATGAGTGGTCCCGGCTGCCTGTCACTACTGGAGCCAATTAAGCAGAGACGGGGTTGAATCGTACGTGAACTTTTATTCCAGTAATGCCGGCAGTGTGGGGGAGCAGCAGGTCATCCACGAAAATCTGCTCCACCCCCTCCCCGTGATCCAGCTGCTTATATTGGGTAGAAGGACAGAGATCACACGGGGAAGTGGGAACTACAGGCGTGGGGACGTCGGCGAGGCGTGGTGCTAACAGGTCTCAGGCAATGCGGCCGGGGGTCTCTAAGGGCGGGCGCCCCCAGGACTCCGCTGTTTTGGCAGAGGTTGTTAATCTTTCCATGATGATAGACAGTTCTTGGAAAATGAGACCAGACCTCATTCCAAGGTGAAGTCTCATGTCCCGGGGCGCACGACTCTCAGCCCGGTTAGAATGCGCTTTCTCTGATCAGATCAGGACAGTCCCTGTCAACAGAGCACGGTTCACATTTCTGCCCCCAACAAGAGGACGGCTGGGCCCCGACGGTCGTGGCCCTGCATTCCATTAAAATATAACAGGGGTGACGAGGCAGATATTGGAAAAAGACTTGAGGAAGGGCCAGAGGAGGCGCAGGGACCCGAGGCCCGGCCGGAGCTCCCGCTGGCCCCGAGGCCTTGGCATTCCCAGGCTCGGCCGCCTTCTGGGGCTGCTGTTCGGCGCTGGCTAATGATTAACAGGAAATCTGCTGGAACGCACACACCTTCGGGGAGTGAGGCCTGTGGCTGGCAAAGGCCACCTCTGTGTTCAGAGCCTGGCCGTGACGTGAGGGAAGCACTCGGTGAGGGACTTCCTGTGCACTGCCCTGCTCGGGTCAGGACGCTCCGGTGGCCTGATTGAATTGTTCCTGTGTTTGTGCGGAGGGAGGGCGGAGGCCAAGAAGGCTTCTGGAAACAGAACCTCCCCGAAGCCCTGAGGAGAAGATCTACCTGCCGATGGTAAGCCGGCTCCAGGCGTGGTGGGTCCGTCCACAGGGACAGTCTCCCCCGGGCGCGGGGCTCTCTAGCTGTCCTCCCGGGTAAGTGCCGGACGGTCAGAACGTCTTCTGCTTCCCGACGTCCACAGAGTTAGGCATTAAAAGGGCGGCTGCTCTGAGAGTGTAGGAATTTGAGACGATTTCTAATCAAGAGGGTGTCCCTTTCGCAGCGAGCTGCTCTGGGGGATGCGCCGAAAGCCGAGGCGGGGCTGGAATGTGGGAGGCCAGGCTCGAGCGCCGGAAAATTACCACGACTCACGCTGCTCCTCAGACAGGCTTTTACCTGGCGTTTGATTAAATGCCCAGAGAGACAGGGGAATTGCTCTGGAGTCTCTGGCAGTCCCAAGGCTGCCCTGAGTCGGGCTGGCGGTACCAGGGCACGCCCAGTGCAGGGCACACGCAGGCGGGGTGCTGAGAGCGTCGGGGCGTGGGCGCCCGCTCGTAGGCGTGGCACGAGCCGGCTCGTTCTCACGCACCACGCGAAGCAGCCCTTTCGTCTGGGGCGTGAGGTTCCTGCTGCCTAAGGCAGGATGGGCGGGCTCCTTTGGATGTTCTGATATCAAGCTCTTTCCAAGAACCCAGAAATGATCGTTTGTGTGGGAGGGTAATTGAGAGAGACGACCGATTCTGCAGTTTTCTTCCGGAGATGGCTAGCTTGGTGAGTCGAGACGATCCGAGGGCTTTGGACTTCTCGGGGTTTTAAGGAATTGGTTGGGGGTCAACGTCTGTCTATTTAGTACAATTTAATAAGACTTCAGATTTTTAAGACGACTTTGGAGTTTTTCAACTAAAAGCAGGTAATTCAAGTCTTCCACAGTGAAATGAATGAGAAGTTAAAATTCAGGGACCGGTCAAACTACTCCACAGAGAAAGTAACTTGCGAATTACCTGGCACGGGTCCTCATGTAATTAGAGCCGCTTGTCTGATTTCAGCTCAGACTTGGAATCAGCTTTGTGACAGTTCCTTCCTGCACACACCCTTCCAATCCCGACACCTCGCCAGCCCACGTCTGTGGCTCGTGGCCTGACCCTACGCTACCCACGCTGGGCCCTGCCCCGCTCCTTAGAAGCGGGGTCTCCTACAGAGCACGCGGGAGAGATGGTGTGCGAGGACCGTGGCGAAGCAGAGTGTTTTATAAGTTGTTATTAGTTCTTCGTCTGCAGCCTGATTGCTTATCAGTGACTCCGGGTGTTTTCTAATGACCTTTAGTTGTTGCCCAGGTTTCCATGACGCTGGGTGCCTACTGCTCATTTATTGCTTTTGGTAAAATGTGTCACCTTTTATGACCCCCAGGGCTCAGTTTCTCCTACATTCCCTGCTGGGCTCTGGCATTCTGGATGATTAGCAGTGATTGACATATGGAGTTGTGTTCGCTGAACCTCGAAAAGAGGTCAGTGATTTAATTGGGGATCTTGAACAAATCTCAGACGTCTGTGATTTCAGTCGGGTGTGTGCACAGCTGCTGCTGAGGCACACAGTGTTTTTGGGGTTTGCCGAGTCTAGTTCAGAGTATGGCGAGGGCCAGGGCTCCGCACGGAAAGGTCCTCCAGTGCAGACGCTCTGAGCCTCACGCCTGGACGCGAGTAGTTAGTTTAGTGCACATGCTGACGTCTGCTTTCCAGAGATGCCAGGAAACGGGTGTGGAAACCACGTTCCTCCTCATGGGCTGTGAGTCCCCAGTGGCACACTCACATGTAACACGGGGTGGCGGCCTGAGCATCGCTGCGATCCGGCACTGCCCCAGTTTTACCCTGCGCCTGTGGGAGGCGTGGTCCGCAGACCTCAGCGTGGCAGGTATTTCCCGGTGCCCATGTCAGGGCTTGTATTTCTGCCGATGGCTCTGTCCCCTATGGCCTGTAAGAGAGGAAAGGGGCGGATCCCTGGACAGGGGCATCAGCACACTGCAAAAACCCTGACACGGGGCTCTGATGGAACCGGGAACCCCGTGTTCTGGAGGGATGCTAGGTTTCCCCCACACCGCTGTGAAATCTGGGTGATGCCAGAGACAAAGGGAAAGCCACGCCTGGGTCACTGTGGTCCATAGGTGGGTTGTTGAAGAGCATTTCAAATAGAGACCCTTTCTTAAGGTTAAGGAGGAGCTGTTTTGTGTGTGTGTTTTGTAGACAGTTTGTGATACATCAGTGGATGATTTAGCCCTAAGCGCTTCCGTGAGCCCAAGCAGTGTTGGTGATCGCCTTGGATAGGCCCGTCTTTGGGAGGAGAGAAAGGTAAACTGAAAAAAAATCGGGGATGGAGGTTGAGCGAGAGGGTTATCAGAGCAAAGGGGTTGAAAGGGAGGGCCGGGAGGTGTACATGACAGGGTCCCCGTGTGCTGCCCGGGGCTGATAAGACCTTACTCTGCCTACTCCTAACCTCCTCTACCTCTGGCTTCTCCCCCTTCCACTCACCCCTCCCTCTACCCCAGCCCCGGAGCCCTTGCAGCAGTTCCTCAAATGTGCCAGTCACCATCCCACCCCAGGGCCTTTGCACCTGCTGCTTCTCTGCCTGGGAAGCTCTTCTGCAAGTATCCACATGGTGTCACCTCCCCCCCTTCACTGTTCAGAGAACACCTTCTAGGGTAGCCTTCCTCTGGCCTCCCTGTTTGAGGTGATAGCCAGCCCCCCACCCTCAGCACCCCCCCCCACACACATTCCCTTGTCCTATATTTTCCCACAGCTCTTGCTGCCTTCTAATAGGCTTATGGTCTATTTCTTCCCTTTGTTGCCTGTTTCCCTTTTGATAGTGTAAACGTGTTGTACGCAGGATTTTCTTTTCTCGGTGATTAAAGCATCATGATTGCAGTGACCAGCTGTAAGTCCAGGCTGCTGCGTCGTGGTCAGTAGTTCAGTGGTGAAGGGGTACTGTGGGCATCCCCTAATTTATACACAGGCTTGGGAGCAAGGTCATGTAATACGGTGATCCTCAGACGTGAGCACGTGCCAGAATTGGACATGGTTTAGACTGGTGGCCGGGCTCACCTCTGGAGTCTCTTTTCCAGCAGGTCTGGGGTGGGCCCAAGCATCTAGTTTTCTAACAAGTTCCCAGGTGAGGCCGGTGCCACTGGCCACTCAGAAGCACTGAGTCGCCCGTCCTCTGACACACAGGGGCCAGTCGGGCTCCGCTAAGCTCTGCGTGGTAAACACGCATCAGCGATAGGCTAACTGCTGGCCTTGTCTTCCCAGGGTGAGGAGGAACATGCGGAGATGGAGGGCAGCTGGAGAGGTATCCTGGCTGCGCTGGTCGTCGTGGCTGGCCTAGCAGGTGAGCTCGGGGCAACGTTCCGGGGCTTCCACTTGGAGTGGGCGGAGGGGAAGCCTGGGAGGGGGCTGGTGCTCACGGCCGCCAGACGGTTGCTCCCCAGGCCCTTCCGACCGTCCGTTTCCTGCTGCATTGACTCAGCTCCGGGGCAGTGCTGCAGAAGCAGCTGACCTCCCAGTTCTCTTTCTGGGGGTTCGTGCCTCCTGGCCACTTGCCTTCGGTACCTCTTCACAAGTCATTGCTCCTGGTGAAACGTCCTGTCCCTCTTCTGTTTCTATCTGGTCTTCAGGGAAGGCTGACTCAGGTGTTGCCTCCTCCATGCAGCCTTCCTGTCCTTGCTGTTTTCGGAGTGATAATCTGTTTTTATAATCTGTTTCCTTAATCTGGACCGCTCCCAGAGTGTCGGTCAGAATGGCCCCCGGGGTGTCCCAGGCCAGGGTCCCCTGGTCAGACCCAGCTTTGTAGAGATGAAGCGTGCAGACCTCGGGGTCCTTAGGGTAGCTAGAGTTTGTACCCCCCGCTTGGGTTTGACTCCATCTTGTCCATGTGTCATTGCTCAGGTGTCTTGTCTTACTTTCCCGGCTGGATGGCAACCTCTCAGGGCAGTCATCCTGTGTTCCTTCCCACTATGGTCTTGAGGCTTGGTGACGAAGAATGATCTCCATACAGAAAAGTGCAGCCACAAAGGCCCGGCCTGACGCGCTAGCACAGGCTGGACACATTCATGTAACAGCAAGAGGCCGGGAACCCTCCGCGGGTGCTTCCTTCACCCTCCCCTCGCCTCCCCAAAGCGACCATTGTTCTGACTTCTAACTGCGCAGATATGTTCTACTGGGTTTGTGCTTTATAGTGAACTCTATTCCCGATGGCTAGATAATGTTTTTAAAACTCTGGCCGATGGAGCATACCAGAAGCGGGGCCATCGGCGTGTGCTCCATGCAGTGAGGACTGTTTTATACATTCTGATTTGGGGTTATTTACACGTGAAGTCTGTGGGCACCAGGCTGTGGTGTTAACCTGTATTTGAGGCAAAGGTGTTTGAAAGTCCCTGCTTGATAGGACGCAGTGCCCGGTGTTGAGTAGGTGCTGATAAAACTCGTCTGTGGAGCGGAGAGGAAAACACCACGCCTGCTGTGCGGGGCTTGGGGACTTGTGTGGCTGGCAAACCCGGCTCAGCACACAGTTAAGGGATGTGGCTCCAACTAGGCTATTTCGGACACGGTTGCAAAATATTTCTTCCAGAAGCTTAGTGGGAAACTGATGAACTCTGGGTCCATGGTTTTTCACAGACATTTCTCCCGGAGCTCTGTTTTGAAGGCAGGGATGGCTTTGGTTGAGGCCTGGAGATGGATCTTCCAGGAGGGGTGAGTATTATGGGCTAATTCTAGAGCTGTCTGGGGGATGGGGTACATAGCAAAAGACTGAGCCCCTTGGATGCTTCTTGGGGTAGGGACACCTTGGTTTGCAGACTTGGCTATGAGTAGCTGAGGGCATCCATTGGACTCTGCCAGCCCTCCACTTGGCTGGGAGCTGAGGAGCAACACTAGTGTGCCAGGCTGGTCACTGCCTGTGCAAAGGGCCTGGGGCCAGAAAGAGTTGGTAAAAAAGAGTTGGTGAGAAGGGCAGAGTTTGGGGCAAAAGGAAGTTGATGTGAGACTAAGTAGGGTGTCAGGATATGGTAATGGTAAGGATTATCTGGTCTTGACTGTAAATGATGGAACTATTTAAACAAAGTCGTGTGTGGAGGTGGGGGTAAGGGAGGGTTCCTGATCACACTGGCGTGCTGAGAAGACCCCTCTAACTGCCACGCGGAGAGCAGTTTTCGGTGGTGGTGGTGGCACAGCAATGATGCTCTCGCTTCTTGCCGCTGCCAGCAGGAAGCTCAGGCCCATCTGGGGACCTGCTCCCTCACTTCTCACTTTCCTCCCTGCAATCCCAGCCTCTGAGGCGTTTGAACCCCCCCTTTCTCTTTCAGAGCTGCCTCGGAGCAGTTCTCTCCTCCTGCCGTCCACACTGTTTCCTTCTTCCTTCTGGCTTTTAATTGTCTGCTTCTCTACTCATTTCTAATGTTAAGTAAGAGGTGGGAGAAGGTGAGGGGCCAGGGAAGAGGGGAGCAGAGGAATAGAGGCAACTGGCTGCTATTTTGGGGAGCTGAGAAAAAGCCGTCGTAGGACTTATGTTCAGGATCAGTTTGTGGGGGACAGGCGGGAGCCACGGACGCTGCAGATGTGCTGCTGTCTGAGTGGCTTCAGTTTGCCGATGGCAGGATGCGGCAAGTAGAAGGGAAGCTTTTCAACCCTGGGAGGCAGGCCGTCCTCTATTCGGAGGTGCCTGATGCGGTGGATCGTGGGGCAGGAGAGGAACCGGGGGGCAGGCTGCAGATGTGCGTTTGAGAATCGGAGATTGTTGGCATGAATAAGTATCCTGCAGGTGGATAACCCCCTCCTGGGGGGGCCTGGTGTTGGGGGAGCACTGTAGCTGGTGGCCTGGGAGGCTCCCGGGAGGGGCGCTTGGATATTTCCCATGGCTCGCCCCGCGTGTGCCTTTTTGCTCTACAAAGGGAAGGGGGAGCAAAGGGGAAAGGGAGGCTCTGTGCTGAGGCAGGTGACTATGACTAAAGGTCTTATTTACAGTTTGCTCGCGTTTGTTCTGGGTGGGACGGTGTCACGCACAGCACCAGCGACGGGACGGGAGAGGGAGGAATGAGGTCCCAGGTTCCAGGACCCACGTTTCAGGAAAGGCAGCCTCTGAGTCACCAGGAGGAGCAGAGACTGGGGGCTGCACTGTCCGGCGACTTAGTGCGTAGGGTTGGTGCCTCCTGTTGAAGTTAAAGGTCAAGTACAAACTCAAAGAGTGTCCATTTGGCACGGGTCCCGCCCTCTCACCTCCCCAGCTGCAAAGCCAGCTTTGTCGCTTTGTGTTGTGTTGGTCACACATGCAGTCCGCAGGGCATTAAAGACAGGCGTGGGGTGCGCAGTGTCTGGAGTGACATAACCAACCTCGCACCAGGCCGTGAAGGGGCCACACTCCCAGATGGTTCCTCTGTGGCTTACTCTGCTGCAGTGGCAAGCCGGGGTCCCCGCATCTCTGCAGCCCCGCACCCAGCCCCGCGGGCTCCTGCCCAGTCCCACTGACCTGAGTCGGAGGGGGGAGCGTTGTTCTGGCGCTGTGGAGCGTGAGGGACATCTGCCTGTCGCTCCCCCGGGGGCAGGACTGGCTGCTGCTTTTCTTCTGTCCCTCCTCTGAAGGTGCAGTTCAGGGCTCCGGGAAAGGGCCCAGTTGGCACAGCAGCTGCGGCTTCCCCGGGAGACTACTTCTGACTTCCCTTCCTCAGGACCCTCTATCCTCTTATCCTGGATAGAGCGACTTGCCCAGGGCTGAAGGAGAGGATCCAACCTGAGCTGTTATTTAAGACACACTTTCTCTCTTTTCTCTCTCATGCCCAGAGGTAAGTAAAGAATAGAGATTAGCGGTCATGTCTACCCAACCTGGGAGTAGCCTTGGTCACCTCTGGCCTGCTCTCAGTCCTGCCTCTTTGCAGGCCCCTCCTTGACCCAGGCTGCCCCTCCGCCCGGTCCTGCTGGCCTCGGACCCCGTCCGTGCAGTGGTTCATTTCCTGCCCTTCGCCTATTCCTGCGGTGCGTTTCCACACTGCATCCTGGGTACTTAGAAGTGTTGCTGTGTTACTATGTCCAGCTGTGCGCTTTCTTCCCAGAAATCTTTAGCCGTAATGAGATTTCTTTTAGAACCTACCTTGCAACTTGACCTTATCAGGTTGGAAGGGGAGAGGGAGGCTGCAGTTATCTGATGGCACTCAGTGTATATGGGGGGCTGCCTGGTCCACCTGCAGGGATCACACAACTCCACGAGGTAACAGGAGCCCCTCACAGTCTTGCTGATGTGCAGGTGTGTGGTCTGCCAGGGCGCCTTTTTGCTATAAACCCTGAGTGTGATCAGAGGGGAAAGAGTGGAAAGGAGGGGAATTCAGAGCGGGAAGGTCTGAGGATCCCGGCTGTGATCACAAGTCCTGGGATGTTGCTGGTCTTCGTTTTCTCAGCGTTAGAACACCGGTGATGGAAGATGGGAACAAGTGACCTTGAAGACTAGCCATTGCCATGCTTTAAGTTATTATTACAAACATGGGAAAGTCTAGGAAAACTCTGGGCGCCTATTCGCTCTTCTAGGGTGAAAAGATCAGTCCTAAATGACCCAAAGATTCCCTGAGTTCTTCAGTGCAGAGCACTCTTGTGCCAGGTGATCATGAGAGAGTTCACGTGAACTGGAGAGCCCCGGTGCATCCCATGGGGAAGACCAGTCAGAATTGTCATCCTGGTTAAAACCAGTGTCACAGAGCACCTGGTGAGCGAAGGGCAGGATTTGTGAAAAGGGTGAAGCAATGCCACTTTAATGTAGGATTTTCTTGGCTGGTCTTATTGGTCAACATGGTCCTCCTTGCGGGTCTTGTGATAGTGACTGTTCTCTGAGTACCTGAGGGTCCTGTGAAGGGCTTTACTTGGTTATCCTGGTTGGTTCTTGAAACACGTTGCTGTGGCACTAGTGTCCCTGTTTTGCAGCTGAGGGGAGTGGGGCATGGAGAAGTGGAGATGACTTGTTGGGTGAGTCAGGACACTCATTCTGGAGTCCATGGTCTTACTTACACTCTGGAGTGTTGAGTTTTAAACTCAACTAGATGTGGTGAGACTTTCTAGGGAGCTGCCAAATGCGTCCCTTGAGCATTCTCAGGAATGGATCTAACTCCCTATGTCCTTCTACCCATTATCCCTCCCTCTGCCTTGGCTAGTCCTCAGGAGGAGGGCTGTGGCACCAATGACAGTACCGTCTTCTTGATACTTTGAGACTGACTTTCCCATAGCTCCATGACGGTATACTCGGGACCCAACTTTCATCTCTCTCCAGCTATATTTCTTCTCCCGCAACCTTGTTCATTCCCCAGCCACAGACACTGTCCTAAGCATCCCATGTGGGGGCTCTCAGGCTGCAGGGGGCAGGAAGGGCTATGATCACAGCACCCCGGGGTCCCCAGCCTTTGTGAAGACAAGGTACTCCACTGCCCCCTCCGAGCCCCGGGAGAAGGTTGTCCTCATTTCACTGGGAGAAAAAACATGCTCATTTCATAGTGAGGCTGAAAAGCTTCCCTACTGTGACAGAGCTTGGCTAGTGGTGGCTCTCTGGGCCACACTGAGGTCATATACTTAAGGTAACAGCCCGTAGGAAGTGGAGAGGAGCACTGTTCCCTCATTGCCAATCCAGCTGGGATGCTGAGGACTGTGGAGTGAGGGGAGGGGTGTGGAAAGGAGGAATGGAGTGCCTTCCTGTCCACTGGATGCTCTTCTGGGGAGGCCTGGTGTTGGGACCAGTAAGACATGGAGTCTGAGTCATAGGACAATCACTCAGATGTCACAACTTGTATGCAGGAGGGTTCAACTCTACCATGGACCTATATAGATTCATTCACTTACTTGAAAAACTGGTTGTCTTTTAGCTTCTGGATCCAGCCAAATCATAGAAGGACCCAAGAATGCAACGGTGCTGGTGGGCCAGGAGGCCCACTTCAACTGCACCATCTCCAGGGGCTGGAAGCTCATCATGTGGTCTCTGAACGACACTGTGGTCCTGATTGTCACGACCACACAGCTCATCATTCCCGATAAGCGCTTTTTCTCCAAGAGTTACGAGGAGGGCGGTAACTTCATCTCTGAGCTGATCATCTATGACGTGCAACCCAGCGACGCGGGGCATGTCAAGTGCAGCCTGGAGAACAGTGACCACCAGAGATCTGCTTTCCTTTCAGTCCAAGGTGCGTATGCGGGTAACTCTGAAGGGGAGCATTCGGAGCCCATTGGGTTCAGTGTCAGAGGAATGGAAGGGACCTTCTGAAGTTCCTGCCATATAGGATGGCCTATGGGACACCCTCAGTTGGTGTTACACTTAGAGTTATTCTGAGCCGATGAGTGTTCTGTGGGATTTGTCAGCCCCTCCCCGCCTCCTTTCTTTCATGTGCTGGCAGCTATTCTGCACTGATGCGCGTTTGCTGGTTTGTTGCTTGTTTCTCCCTCTCCTGTCTTTTTCATTGACTCTCTTTCTGCTTCTTCTCCGTTTCTCCCCCTTTCTCCTTCCAGCTTTTCTGTCCGTTTCCGTGGTTCAGGCCCTTAAAGCCGGGCTCTCCCTTTCCCACCTCATCCACTGCGGTGCCTACTGGCTTCCCCGGAATTTCATCCTGGAAGCTTCTGGGGCCAGCTGCCCACACTCCTCTGTGCGGCAGCGAGAGTCGATGACAGTCCTGCCCTGCCCCCATTCGTTCACACGCTCCACTCTACTTCTTCGCCTTCGGTTATTTTTGATTTTACACCACTTTGACACCTTTATCAGCTTTGAATCATGCTTTACTTTTCCCCTTTTCCAGCTTAATTTCCCCAGTTTATTACTCTTCCCACCCCCTGTGGTTCTTACAGACAAAGGTGTGTCTAGGGTTTTAGGGAAAAGAAAGAAGTAAACAAAATTTAGGATAATGGATAGCTGACTTTTTATTTTCAAAAGTTAATTTTTAGGTGCTGAAGATCATGCTACATAGTGAAAAAAATAAGAAGGATCATTTACAAGGACTGAGAACATATTTTTCAAAGTTGAATCCCTTTGAGGTCCTTCAAGATGCAGTTACCCTATTTCCAGATGCGCCAGAGCTAGCAGAGCGCCTGCTTTCTGCGGCAGCATTTTTTACAGCAGACCACATTGCGTCTTTGAAATTTTTTTTATGTATATTTATTTGCTTGTCTAGGAGAAATTCCCAGAGATTTGGTCTGTGCTCATGCTGCTATCAAATCTAATTGGATAACATTTGGTGCAGATACATGTCTACCTATCTCTACTTGCATTTTTTAATTTAGCCAAATCATTGTGTCTTTACTTTTATGTGGTTTACTTAGGGGAATAATGATACTTTGTGATTTCGTGATATTAAGTGATTTTGTGAGGCTACCTGGATTCCTGGCCTATAGTGTACGACCAGATTCTTATTATAGTGATTAGTGGCATAAGGGAAAGAACACTGGAAAAGGAATCGAAGATATGAGTTCTGGTTTTCCTTTCATCAGTTTCCCACCTTGGGGACCCTGCGTTGGCTCAGTTTCCTCATCTCTAAAATTGGGACAAGCTTCCTCTGCCCACTTCGCAGGTTTGCCGTGAGGATCAATGATGACATGACTGAGGACGGTTTGAAGCCTCCCAAGCCAGAGTGGTCTAGCGGTTAACAGGGCAGACTCGGGAGGCTGACTGCCGGGCTCAGGTTCCGGCTTGACTGTGAGATCAGTTGAGCAGGTCTATGTAAAGTCTTCAGAACAGCTCCTGGCTCTTTGCAATCTCTGGATGAAAGAGATTTGCATAAATACAAAATAATGTCACTCTTCTTCTTAATTTATTTCCATTTAAGATGTAGGTATTTTTCACAAAAGTTTATTAACCTATGTTAACATGTCGTAGGTTATTATTGTTATTTTTGAATATTTAGAAATAAACAAATATTTGAGTCTAATTTCAAACATGGTAAGTCTTGATAGCTGTAACCCACATAAACAAAAGGCCTTTGGGGTCCTCAGTGGTCTGTAAGAATGTAAAAGGGATGGAAACCGTAAGGATCAATAACTACTAATTGAGTCAAATCATCTCATTCGACAGGTAGGAAATAGGCTGAAAGTTTCAGGGACTTGCCCAAGGTTATATGGCAAAGCCTGGATCAGGGGCAGAGGTTTTGATTCTCAGTCCAGTGCTCTTCCCATTATATGACGCAGCTGGGAGTTTGGGATATTTTAACTGGAACATTTCAATGTATTTGTGTTTCAGGAAGGCTGTCTTTACCAGGGCCAAGCCTCAGGTGATTTTAGTGACATTGGCACACATCAGTGCTATTTTCAGAGGGGTTATTTCCAGTGTCAACACTGGCACATACCAGTAGGTCCTCAATAAAAACCTTTAAAGAATTATCTGAGCAGTATATTCTGATACGTGATTGAGGGTAGTTATTTCTTTAATTCTGTTGGATTTGATTTTGATTTAATTTTTAGCTAGAAAAACATTTAAAAGCATATCACAGGAAGTTATGTTTAAAAATATGTAACAATCCCCCCCCAAAAAAAGAGAGAATCCGACTGACCAAGGGAATTTCCCATGAGACTGAGATGTGCCCACCTGACAATGAAAAGAAGGTAAAGGTTATTTCCCTTTTTGCTTTGCTCCCAGGCAGCTCAGGACAACTTTAGTGACTATGTAGCCCCCATGGCAGGCACTTCTGCCTTCTCTTTCTCATATAATTTATACTTCCCTGGATCCTGATTTTTATTCATTTCTCTAGAATTATGTTTCCTGGTGAGCAATCTCACTTTCCTTGGTGGACCTGGAAAGTAGAAATAAAGACAGGTTTCCCACTGCAGACTCAGCCATCCTGGGTTCGGGGAGGTAGTATCCATGTGATGTAATTGGAAGGAAAAATGAAAGAAAGCCTGGAACTGAGAGGTGTGGCCGTTCCTTCAGAATGTTTCTCTTTTCTTCTTTAGTTATAGGGAAGTTGCTCATTCACAGTGACAGTCTTGTAGTCATTGAGGATGAACCTTGTAATGTGACTTGCCGTGCTGTGGGCTGGACCCCGCTCCCGGATCTTTCCTGGGAGATCAATGCTTCCGTGAGCCATTCAAGCTATTACTCTGTTCCTGAGCCTGACGACCTTCAAAGTGTCCTGAGCATCCTGGCTCTGACGCCGAAGGGCAGTGGGACTTTGACTTGTGTGGCTAACGTGAAGGGGCTGCAAGTCCACGATTCTTACACTGTGTATCTTACTGTGGTTCCGACTCATGTGGGTAAGTGAAGACTTTTTACTTTATGTAAAGCAAATTACTACTGCATGTCTGTATTTTCTATGTCCTGCAGCAAAGAGCTCCAGTCTGATTGCTGATGCCCATGGAAATGGATTTGGGAGATGAGCTTGCCTGCACAGGTTTTCTTTGGTAGGGGAAGGGCAGTCAGTTTCCCTCGAGCGGGTTTAATTCAGCTGAATTCTCCTTAGACCAGGACTAGTGAAGTGAGCAGCCTTCATTATGGCAGCTGGAGTCCCGCCTGCCGCACAGAGGAGAGCGCAGTGGGTGCGTGGCAAGCGTGGCAATGAGTCTTACTTTATTGGACTCATTTGGAAAAGGGTAATTTGTTTCTAAATTATTCATCAAGTTCCAGAGCAGCTGGTGGCTGGCTGCGTGTTGTGTATTTTATGTAAGTTCTAGTAGCTGAAGACCTCGTTGCCGCCTCTGCTGGGCTGGCGGAGCTGGAGACCAGGAGGCTCAAGGAGCACACGAGGGCCCAGAAGGAAAGAGGCTGCGCCTATCCGGCTCCTTCAGGAATCGGATAAGCATCAGTTCTGACACATATTTCCTAAGCATGCCTGGAATTTGTGTTCATTTCCAGAATAATGCCTTTGAGGATGCCAGTAGCAGTTTAGGAAGTCTAATTCTTTCAAGCAAAAAGTTGCATGAAGCACGAATTGATTTTTTAAAATTTTTATTTTTTGAAATTTATCTTTATTGTTGAAAGTATTACAGGTGTCCCCTTTTTCCCCCCCAATTGACCCCCTCTACCTCACTCCCACCCCCTCCTCAGGCCTTCACCCCATTATTGACTGTGCCCATGGGTTATGCATATATGCATATAACTTCTTTGGTTAATCTCTTCCCACCCTCCTCCACTCCACTTCCCTCTTTCCTCTGAAATAGGATCGTCTGTTGCATGCATCAGTGTCTCTGGATCTATTTAGTTCATCAGATTCTTTTGTTCATTAGCTTCTTCTTAAAGAAGACCCTTCAACTTTTCCTGTAGTGCTGGTCTGGTGGTGGTGAACTCCTTTAGCTTTTTCTTATCTGTGAAGCTCTTTATCTGACCTTCAGTTCTAAAGGATAGCTTTGCTGGGTAGAGCAATCTTGGTTGTAGTTCCATGTTTTTCATCACTTTGAATATTTCTTGCCACTCCCTTCTGGCCTGCAANTCCATGTTTTTCATCACTTTGAATATTTCTTGCCACTGCCTTCTGGCCTGCAAAGTTCCTATTGAGAAATCAGCTGACAGTCGTATGGGTGCTCCCTTGTAAGTAACTAACTGCTTTTCTCTTGCTGCTTTTAAGATTCTCTCTTTGTCTTTAACCTTTGGCATTTTAATTATGATGTGTCTTGCTGTGGGCCTCTTTGGGTTCCTCTTGTTTGGGACCTCTGTGCTTCCTGGACTTTGTAAGTCTATTTCTTNTCTGGGCCTCTTTGGGTTCCTCTTGTTTGGGACCTCTGTGCTTCCTGGACTTGTAAGTCTATTTCTTTCCCCAGGTAGGGGACGTTTTCTGTAATTATTTTTTCAAATAGGTTTTCAATTTCTTGCTCTCTTTCTTCCCCTTCTGGCAACCCGGGCATGTGCCCTGACTGGGAATCGAATCCTGATCGCCTAGATCCCAGGTCAACACTCAACAGCTGAGCCACACCCAGCTGGGCAAAAAAAGAAATCGATTTTCTTGATTCCAGAAGTAATAAGAGCTTTAAGCACTGCAGATGTACATACAACCGACAGCCCTCCCATGCCCTCCTGGAGATAAGCACCTTCAACCCCTGTCTGCCCATCTGGATGGTTTTCTCTTGCTTTAGTGTGTGGGCTGTGAAATGTTAAAACAGAGCTATCTTGGCAGGACACACGAGCACCCTGTAGAATGTAGTGACTCCTGGTTATAACCTTAGCTTTGTGAAAAGTGGCAATTTCAAGGGAAGGCAAGAAGAGTGGAGAGAGTGACAGTCCTGAGTCATAGCTCTGGCACTAACTGTGTGACTTTGGGCAAGTCTCTGACCTTTGGGCTCAGTTTTCTCGGCTGTAAACCGAGCAGGAGAACAGGGCAGAAGTTCTCTCTCCTGGCAGCCTGTCAGTCTTGGGGGAGCTTTAATGCACAAGGACCCACCCCAGAGGCTCTGATCTAATTGGTCTGCATGGAGCCTGGGAATTGGCATTTTTTAAAAAGCCCCCAAATTACGTTACTGGGCAGTCATGATTGGGGACCACGGAACTGGAAAATCCTGAAAGCCCCTCTTCCCTACCCAGCCTCTCAGGTGCTACTGTCCACCCAGACTGGGACCCCAGACAGCCTGGACTCAGATGCCAGCTGGCCCACTTCCTTGCTCCGTGACTTTGGGCATGTGACTTAACTTCTCTGTGCTTCAGTTTTGTCGTCTGTGAAACTGAGATGATAATACCTGCCTATATGGTTGTTATTATTCTTAGAAGTAAGTGGGTTACAACACTTATGGGACACTCCCTGCCTTCGAGCTCACAGGACAGCAGACTGAGCAATCGTCATCTTTGATGTCACTGATCCAGAGATCTCTTGTGTCCCTTCTGGTCAGCACAAGAGCATGCTCTGCACATGCTGGTGGTGACATTGTGTCAATCCAGTTGGTCTCAAGAAGTTGCTTGTGCCCTTTCGAACTCAGAGCATCTCTGTGAGAGCGTCTGGGAGGGAGGAAGGCAAGCTGTGATGAACTTGGAGATAATCTCCCTTAGTCACTATTTGTGGGTCATGCAGGTGTAGTAGACTCATCCTGACCAGCAAGGCTGAGGCTGCCATTCACCTGAGTCATCACACCCACATGTCACTAAAGGCCCTTGTCAGGGGCAGTGTCCACTTGGACTCCCTATTGCCCATGAGACCCAGGCTGTATCTTCCCCAGAAGGGCTAGTCCATGCCGGACATGCTGTGTGACAGAATGGAAGGACAGGAGCGAGGCCCTGGGTTTTCCCGCCTGAGCGCCTTGACCTGCTTACCTGGCCCCTTTTTGTCCCGGGGCTGGGCTAAGGATGAGATCTCTCCAGGATTTGGTGTTTTTGGTCCACTGTCACAGTGTTTGATTTATCAATATAGGACTAGTATTTATTTTTCTTTTAATCCACTGCAAGTGTACTCATTTAAAAAAATAGCTTCCTACTAAGAAAAAATCCATGATATATAGGCATATGTGTATACATATATTTGTCATATCTGATAAATTAAAAATTATTATTAAAATCAGAAAGGCTCTTCTGCGATGCTCTGGTACAAATCACACCTCCTCGAGGCTCATACACCACGCTCCTTGGGCTCCATTGGAGTAGAGGGAAAGCATAAGTCTCCCCTAGGTGTGCAGCTCAGGGGGAGATTTGACCCCCAATGGAGTGTGGTCACGAAATAGGGAGTGAAAGAATGAGTCGTGGGTACCAGCTGCCACTCTGGTGAGAGTTTGGGCTTTTAGGGGAGTGCAGGCCTCACTTGGCTGAACCTGGTGGTTGAATCATGGGACAAGAGAGTGAGCGAGGTTGTAATACCACCTGCTGTCTTCCTCGATTCAGTCGCCATCCCCAGTGAGGTGACCCTTCCCTTTCTTTAAACAGGCTCTCCCTGAGGATAAGCCATCTCTGGGCTAGATCATGTCAGGACAAAGGTGATCATGTCCAGACTGGGCTGACAGACGCTTGGCAGGTTGACAGTTTTCTCCAGCTGGGAGGAGCATTCCAGCAAGTCAACACGTGTGTTGACTTTTTCCAGTATGGGTTTGAAGCCTATCTCCTGAATCTTAAGCCAGACCTTAATGTTTAACCTCAGCTGGCTCCCTTACTATGGGAGTGCCTAATATTTTCAAGCTTCAGTTTGTGATCAGTCCATCAGACTGAGTTTAGGATGACCACAGCCACCTCGAACATATGGGCCATACCTCAGTGTCCTCAGCACCTTCCCGTGCATCTCTTGAGTCTCTGACCAGCCTGGTGACACAAGACTTGCTACAGATGAGTGAGCCAGAGGCCAAAGGGAACACAAGTAGACAGTGGCCCTGAGAGTCCAGTGGTTCCACTGAAATGAAGCCCAAAGACCACCATATTGAAGCTTCATTGATTTAAAAGCAAAACTTAGCTTCCTTCATTGAAGGCTGTTGTTTTAATATTTTCTAATGACTAGCAGCTAATGAAACAGTAGGCGTTTACACTGGGATGCCCCCAGGCACTCAGGGCTGACTGGCAGCCTTTCCTGAGTAGCAGTTCACGTTTAAACAGATGGGCTTCAATGTGACTTGACTTCACCTGTCGGTAGGAAAGTGGCAGGGCTCCCCGGAGCATCCGTGCGGCCCCCCGGTGCATGGCGAGGCGGCACTGTCCTTCCCACAGGGCTTCCCGTGCTCAAGGCTGCCTTCCCATCCGAGGCACTTGGACGCTTGAAATGTGGCCAGTGCGACTGAGGCACTGAGCATTTCATTGTATATAATTTAAATTTAAATTTCAGTTTAGCCCGGCCAGTGTGACTCAGTGGTGGAGCATCTACCCAGGAGGTCACGGTTCGATTCCTGGTCAGGGCACATGCAGGGGCTGTGGGCTCGATCCCCAGTAGGGGGCGTGCAGGAGGCAGCTGCTCAATGACTCTCATCATTGATGTTTCTCTCTCTCTCCCTCTCCCTTCTTCTCTCTGAAATCAATAAAAACTTATTTTAAAAAATAAAATAAGAAAAAAATTGGAATTTAGATAGCCACATGACGCGTGTTGGAGAGCTCTGACTCAGGCATGGCTGGAATAAATCAGACTGGCTTTTCTCTTCTCCTCTCCCCCCTCCTTCTCCTGCCTGCCTGCCTCCCCTGGCCTTTCTCCCTCAGCCCCACGAGGCCTGGACAAAGCAAGAGGGCAAGGGGACTGAGGAAGGTGGCTCCTGAAGAGCCACGCAGAGCGGTTGCTACGTGGGAAATGAATTCGTGGGTGGGGACTGGGTGGCCCCGGAGTGAAGGCCGGGCACCAAGTTCCTCCCAGAGTGTCCCTTTCCTAGCCAGTCCTCATTTCCTTTGGGCTCTGGACTCTCGACAGGTGGGGACATGGAAGCTAGCACCAAGGCCCACCTTCCAGTCCTGTCCAGCAGTAGCTGCCCAGTAAGACTTTCTTGGCTAAATAAAGGCTGCCGAGCATGGGGAGCGCTACTCCAGCCCAGGGCTGTGTCATCCAGGTCTCAGGCACAGGAGAGGTGACAACCGAGAGCTCGGGCTGCTGCTAAGCAGGTGTTCACTGGCCAGGGGCTGGATACCGAGGCACCCCGAGGGCCGGGGGCCCGGGACACCTCGCTGTGGCAGGCCGCACGGCTCTGAGCTCTGAAAAGCATGAGCTGACTTGCAGTGCGGCAGGGACGACACTCCCCAGGCGCTCGCCAGCATCACTAAAATGTTCTTTTTTCTCTCTCGACCTTATAGGCAGTGTTGATAAACCAGGTTCCTCGCTGCCTACCTGGGCCATAGTCCTACTTGCAGTGTCATTTTCATTGCTTTTCATCCTGACCGTCGTTCTGATTATAATATTCGGCTGCCATTGTGTCTCCCGGAGAGAGAAAACAGGTAATTTTTTTTTTTGGTTCATATGGATTTGTATGTATTTTTAACTTCTGGTACACGCAGTTGAAGTTCATGAGCTCCTCAGCTCTTTGCAAAGGTACATTGGCTCTCGGAGTCCTTGAAGGGAAATGTGTGACATTCGCAGAGGGGGAAAGAACTTTCTGAAGAAAGGAAGCCATTCCTTTGGGGCCTGATGCAGGGGGACAGGTCTTCACACTTCTGAGAAGCTCATGAGGGGGTGCCTTTCTCACCAAAGACACTGTGATTTTTGTGCTTATTTGCAAGGATATAAGGCCACTGTGATGTGTCATTTAGATGCTATTTTTTCCCTAGAATAATACCTATCTATCCCAGCACATTAAAATGTTTTCTATTTCATAGAATTCCAAATCTTCCTTTGACATTGAATGTCGACATAGTGGTAGAAAGAAAAAAAGGCCTCCTGTTAACAGAAATACTACAAATATATTTAATAAAAATAATTATACATTGCTTCTGAATGGGGTTTTTTGAGATATTTCAAGATACAGGAAAGCAGTGGCCTTGTGTGGGGCTCCACAGCGGGGTGGGCTTGTAGAGTTTGGCAGTTTGTGGCATCAGCAATCATAGAATCTTTGGCATGTGGGCAGCTCGGGACTTTCCAGGAGCTGAGTGGGTGTCCGTCTTATCTTTGTCTCGAAACACCTTCACCTACTTTTATTTGAGTATTTTCTCCAATAAGGTCATTTTCCTTAAAATCAGAATTTTGATGTTAGGCTGCGTGTTAGTTTGATTGCACTTTTAATTTTATGATCACTAGCTGCCGTTCGATGAGCGCCTTTTGCGTGCGTGCCAGGCACCGCATATTCCATGTGCGGAGCGTGGTCGAGCCTTAACTAGGCTGACGTCTAGCCTCCGCTCTTGCGTGGGGTTGGTGATGGGGGCATTGATTCTGTGATACAACTTTATTCCCTGGGAGGCAGAAAATGAAAAGTTGTGACTCCTGTTGGCCCAGATTTGATGGGAGTTTGTTTTTAGCTGGGAGTTACCCTCTTTGTCACAGAAGAATTTTCAAATAAAATAGACTGGAAGGCCTGGGGAGGGGGCGGGAAGA